GCACTACACAATACACTCACTTTTCAATACTAAAACATTCAAATCGCTTCGAGTTCAGTATGCAAAACAGAAATTAATCCACGTTTAAAGCGCACTGGATTATAAGGCGCACTGTTATTTTTTAAGAAAATCAAAGGCTTTAGAGTGCGCCTTATAGTGCGGAAAATACGGTACACTAATTTTCTAATACATTCCCACACATTTTGAGCATCTTGGGCTTTTATTATGGTTTGGTAACAGATGTTTGCTGTTTTTATTATGTAGGTTACAGGTGCTGTCAACATGACCCCAATGATCTGCGGGTGGGCGGAGCCAGCTACCTGAGAGGATGGCAGACCAGGTGTGTAGATGGCAGAGTTCTGGATCTCGTCATCTATTCCCCACCTCAAGTGCTCTGTCACGCTGTCCTGTCGGCTTAGGCCGTGTCTTGTACCTGCCCTGTAGTCAGAAGCTGTGGTATCTGGAGGAGATGAGGAAGGGAGAGACCAGAGAATCAGAACATGCCAACATGGAGAATTAACCAGGATTACTTCACCGCATATTGTAACTATACTGTATGTGTATGATTGGTGTAAACATCATTATAAATTGAACTACAAGATTTTTAATCCACATTTAATCAACAAACTAAATGTAAACAAACGACTTAATACACATTTTTTGAAAAAGAATACTGAGTTTTCTCTAAGAGGCTTGAATCTTTTCAGTGATCCAGCTGGGACACTCTCCAGAAAACACAAAACCCCTAACACTGTCATCACATGTTTTAATACTGTATATATTTTTTTGGGGTTATTGTTAATACAAGATAATTCCTTTCTGGTTAAAGGGTGCCACTGAATACTGGTAGCTGTGTAGAAGGATAACGCACACAAAGAACAGCAAAGGAACATATGAACAAACTCAATCTGATTAGTTCCACACAGCGAAGCTGTTATGCTGACAGTTTCAAAGTGTGAATCTACTGCAACTTAGATCCTTACTCAAAGGTAGTTACTACTAATATCAAGTGACAGCATTCTACAATGTTTCACAATTTATTTTACTTTGTGCTTGAGTTTCCTGTTTATTAACAACAGAACTGAGATTTTAGTCATGTGTTAGTCCAGGGCAGCCAGGGAAGAAGGACACGTGCAGTTCCATGAACGAGAGGAAGCCAACCATCTCATGAACTTAGAGTACTTCTGGGAATTGGAGCCTGCTGCATCGGACCTGGGGCTAAATGATGGAGGACAAAGCAGTAACCAGAACTGGGTCATGTCAGATGGACTCCTCTCTGCCCCTCGCATTCCAGGAGGCCCCCTGAGCTAAGCTGCTTGGGGTGGGAGGG